AACTCAAACATTAAGTTTTAGGCTCCTCTTGAATCTAGCAGTATATGAATCAAGACATACCTTGGAAACACAAGTTTAAGCCTTGGCACACAAGTATTTTCAAGCAAAGCTTTTAAATGCGGGCTCAAAAGGCCATCTCCCTGACTACAGACAAGACCTTCTAAAGGAGTATCTCATATTTGCCAGCGTTCGATAAGCCTATTGTCTAATCTGTTCACTAGGAAAAAAATGTCTTTCTCACTGGACTGCTCAAGTTTGCAGTGTACTTACTTGCCATTAATAATCACAAACACTATCCTTCAAAAGTTACACAGTGTAAATAAAATTAAGCTGAGGAATAGGAGAGAAAATGAAAGAGTCTCTTGATGTAATGCAACCATGATCTAAAGAGCCTGAAATAAATCTGAACATGCAAAAAGGAATAAAACAACGTTCAAAATGTACAGACTACATACACGTAAGTAAAGACTTGGTCTCTCTCAAAAGCTGGAATAAACTGCATACTCAAAAGAAAAAGAATTTAAAAGAAAAAACTGCATAGGGCCTTTGGCATCAGCAAAAGCTAATCTTAAAAAAGAGCTGCTTTTCTGGAAGCCAGTGAGACTCCAGGACTAAAAAATTGGAAACAGAGAGAATTATTCCCAAAAGGAAAGAGAAAAGATTTGGGGGACCACAACTGTGACAGTCTAAAAGGACAACCACTTTGGCTCATCATCTTTCATCTCGAGAGCCAACAACCAGATTTGATATCAGAAAAATAAGTTTTTGCAGTTCTGTAGCCTCTGTAACAGTGTGTGCAGGAACCAACTGATCTATCTTGATTTCATCTACATACAGTACAAATAATGTTTTGCAGTAGGGGTAAGGGGGAAGAAAAGTAAACACAGCAGAATATAGGTGCCAGGAGAGATATGAAGAGGGAAGCAGAGCTTGTAGACCTGCAAGATTGCTGCAATAAATCATGCATGTTGGGATGTGAAAACATGTATTAATCATTTAAGTGTCATGCCTGAGAAACCGAAAAAACACAAATCTCACCAGGCAGAGGGATCCAGCAGCAACGCAATTAAACCTTGATGCAAAGTCACTGGACTCTGCAGACCTTCAAACAGGGCCAAGGGCTGGCCCCAGAGCTCCAGACAGCACAACGGACTTCATGAAAGCCCAAAGCTGAGACTTTAAAGGCCACTGCCAAATTTGCTCTGATAGAAGTATGAAATAGATGGGATCTTCTACAAAGGCTGTGGGGCTTTTTTGTTTGTTGGTTTTCAGTTTGGAGGGGTAAAGAAATGATTTTGTACTCAAGTCTAAACAGATGCTTATCAGTGAAAGAGGTTAAGCCTGAAATGACTACGTATTTCTGCTACCCTGAATAACTAGGGGATTAATTCCATGCCAGACTGCACAGAAATACAGATTCTCTAGCCTAAAGCAAAACAGAGGAGCATGCATGGGCTAGGACTTAAAAATTGTCCTGTTCAAAGAGAACCCAAGTACAGCATAACTGTTCGTGTTTACCACTCATTATGATTTAACAGAACTTAAAATTCAGCAAAACCCAGATACAGTGCCTGAGGAAACTGAAGACCAGCAACAACAAAACCAAACAAGCCAGGCAGTGCAAGCAAATCTGTAGATAAGAAAAACTCTATCACTGCCTCATATGCTCCTCCTCTCATCCTGCCAATGAAGGATAACCTGGAAATACTTTACTGACTATGGTCTGTGGCAGAGGGTATCAGGTGACTCACCTACAGTATCCTGAAAACAAAAAATTCCTTCAAATTTTCATTTTAACAGCTGGTGACTTTTATGCATCCTTAAATATATGTAATCAGATACTATCCACAAGACAGTGGGCATCTGTACTCCACTAAATATGTGCTCCGCAATGCCCGATTATGAAAGTCTAGCCAGTTTTCCCCTTGAGCTAGACTCCCTGTAAAGCCTCATTCCCATTTATATTATTACGAAGTACTAAGAAGCATTGTTTGGAATCATTAGCCTTAAAAAAAAAAAAAGTTAAACATGAACAACTATTCATACAAGTCTTGGAGGTGAGAAGGAAATGAAGCATAGACATTCATGGGGGGGGGGAAGGAGGGAATGCGATACTCCCGGAGAACTATGCTTAATATTCCTACATGTTTTGAAATATTATCCAGCTAAAAAATGTGTTTTGTCTTGTTAATGACTATGTATCACCTATAGGAAAAGAAAACCCTGCTTGTATGATGATAAAACCTCTAAGGAGTAACTAAAGCTTCCATTATCAGTTCTTTCAAAGCCAGCACACCCCAGAAGGGAAGAACAGATACCTATGCTTTTTAGACAATTCCCATTTAAGAGTCATCCCACCTCCGCTTATTCGAGACTGAAGGTGACCATCCACCACCTATACTCTTCCCACTCTACTGACGAGTACACACAAGTGCTACAGAAATCACAGTTTAGGTACTTTGGCCCTTAATTTTCAGATTTGCTTAGGGGACCACACGTCCTCCTAGGACTTTTACATCATAGTGAAGGATACCCCATGAAAACTCACACTAGTATTTTCCCTGATGAAGAAAGCTTTTCTTTATGCATCTTGTTAAAGGATAAGAAAAGCAGGGAGAATCTTTTCTGCTGTGCCTGAAATTACTGACAGAAAAAAAACTGCACAAGGGACTGATCTTCCTTTTTTTAGGGCCCGTTTACTTCCACTGTTACGTTGGCAGAGTTGAATTTCCATCAGGCAATACTTTTTACAGTATTGCTCAAAGATGACACTTTTTCTACTCCTGTATTTGTTTTCCTTTGCCAAGACTCTTCTCCCAAAATAAGTGATTTGGACACTAGCTTAGAGTTCACATGGATCAGCATTTCTGTGCAAGGAATGAAAGATAACAAAGGCAAAGAGTGAGACAGAAATAAGGGCTGGCGGGAGCTGTGGCATGATAATGTCCCATAGGATTTTCAACACTGTTACCCATTGAAGTAGAATTTTTGTCCCAAGGTTTGATATATTGAGCTGTGCTACTCTGAGGCATTAACTCTGTTTGAAGCCTGTTCTTATAATTTTCAAATGGAGCAATAACAAGAGGCTTGGTTTTGTTTTTGCATAAAAGGATGTGTGATCATATACTGTCGTTAGAACTGATGTGTCGTTCTTCCAATGTTCTGCATATTGCAGGAAAAAAAAATTAAAAAAAGATACTTTTAGAGCTTACCAACATTTCAAGACCCTACTAAAATACAGCAGTAAGAATGGTGTTGGAATAGTAAAATCCTTTAAAAGTTGCAGAAATGGGTACATAAGAGAAGGCTGTTTACCAGCAGTTTGCCCACTGTTTTTCAACCCAAAACTATTTATCATGTACCACTTTTTCTGCATTAATTTCAGACAAGTAGTTCCATCACTACAGAAATCCACCTTATGCTATGCTGCCTCTATACCTGTCATGCAGAGCATGGCAAGAAACTAGTCTGCATTACACTAATGAAGGCTTTGCTACTTCTGCTGGTTTAACAGGTAAGGAATTCAGATATAGTATGAAGAGCACTAGAAAGCTTTAACTCTGCTCTTAAAGAAGGGCTGGTGCCACAATGTTTAGCATCATTTCACATCAGATTTAAAAATTGGTTCAAGCCTGGTTTTGAGTCTCCCCTAAAAGCCATATACAAGCCCAAAAATATTAAGGTTTGGCTATTAGTGCTTTGTAGCTCATTATCTTATGAGCTTATCATTATCTAATAATTCTATATTAGGAATAACTAGTTTCCGTTAGGAAGACTAAAAGCACTCTTTCACCTCAATTTAGCATATATGCCAGAAGAAATTACTTCTCAGATCAACTGAAGCAGCGAGGGAGTCCATATCCATCACCAGAGCATCTGGCAGCAAAACCTGGTGGAGTTACCTCACACTGGATGATATTTTTCAATACCTTGGAGTATCCAGGGCATCTACATGAGGCCAGGTATGACACAGGGACCACGCAAGACTTGTGCAACTTTGGAGCAGTGAATAATTAACCTAAGGATCCTAAAGTGGCACAATGCTATGTTTGTATGGAATTCAGGCACCCAAAGAATGAAGATGAGACTGAAAGACAAAATAATTGCTTAAGGTAAGAGGCTGCATGAGCATGCACAACTCAAAGACCATAAATTAAAAAAAAAAAGGTAATACAAAACATCTAACACCTGCAGAAATACACTTGCTAGTGAACTGTGCCTTCCAAATTTATTAAACCTTATCTCAGTGGGTTTAAGGAAAATTGGTGAAGACTCATGCTCAAAGAGCTGCTGCAAGAGATGGCTACACTAACATTAGACTTGTAACACAGAAACCATTCTGCTTTGTTTTTCTACACAGACAGTGGAGAGTCCATCTGGATCCTCCAAAGTGAATCCGAGCAGGAGCACTCAGGATTTCCATGGAAGGTTACTAAAACCTTCAGTTTCTTATTAATGTTGCTTCCCATTTAGGAACAACACTCAACATGCAACAGCTATTTTCATCAGCAGCAATTATACTCAAGACAAATTGTGCTGATTATAATTCAGATTCCCATGCAGCTCACCTGAACTACACATTTAAAGCAAAAGGGAAGCCAGGTGCTGACCAGGCTAAAACTTGTTCTGTTAAGGTTGTTATGCATTTCTACTCTCCTAGACTATCACAGAAGGTGCTTCTGCTCCCAACCCTTCGATATAGTCCTAAAAGAATGATTAATTCACCTCCCTTTAGTGAAAAATATTGCTTTTGAGTCTTCCCCCACCCCACCACTCCTGCAAGAAGTGTTGTGGGCCTGTCACATGAATTATGTTAAAAGAGCAGAAAAAAACAGTAGAATATTGTGGACATCTTACATGGCCTGTATTCTAGAGACGTCACAATCTTCACCAAGCATGCTTAATTCTTATGAGGAGTTGCTGCTTGTTTGTGAAAAAACCTTACATCTATATTTTTTGTAGCATCCACCTCTTTCTTTTTAATTACAAAAAATACTTACCATCTAACCATTAGCCCAAGCTCCATGAAGTTTTTCAGGTTAGGAAGAGTTTGCCTTAGATCTGGAGTACTCAGCCCATGTTGATATCTAAGCTACAAGAAAAGAAAAAAACCTAGAATTAGCACAGCTTTCCAAATGAATATAACATTAGGGTCAGTTAATTTACAGGGTTTTCAAAGAACGTGTAGGATAATCAAGCAGTTCCAAGTGATCTATTCCCCTTAAGGAAATGTTCCATTTAATACTCATAACCTCGTATTAGCAAAACCCACCCAAGAACAGGGACAAAATAATCAGTCAATCTGACTGTTAAACCTCATTACACTTTTTCCGTTTCCTATCTGTAACAGGAGAGCAGCCTCACAGCTTAATAAAAACACAGCCATTAAGTGAAAAGACCAAATTTCAACACAATGTTCTATATTCACTAATTCAAAACATTTATTTGTGTGCGAGTGTCATCTGTCATCCTGACTCTATCAATGTATGCTGGAATCAGTATTGGAATTGTTACAGCAATGTCAACTAATAAAAATACAGTCACACAACTGACCTAAATCTGTGTTTTTTATACAGTTTACATCAACATTAAAACTGCTGCTATTATTCTCATAATTAAACCCAGCATTCAAATACAATGCCATGTAGCTAAGAGAAAGGCTTCAAACATTGACTTTAATCCAAGTATTAACTCCTATGTGGGTGCAAACATGAATGAAAAGATTCAATACACTGACTCCATGCAAACCGCAACTTGCTTTTACCCTCATATTATCCAATGAAGTACACATGACATAGCTGTCACTGCTGGTAATTATAAACTACTTATTTAAGAAGTCCCCAAACTAAAAATACCTTTGAAGAAAACAGCACAGAGAAGGAAAAAAGTCTGTCTTACTTTCAAGTACGAATCTCAAAACTTCATAAGCTTTGCAGGAAAATTTATCCCTCATGTGGTTAAGATATGGGAAAAAATATCCCTAAATTCCAATACCTTTCAGACTATCAGAATGAAGCAGTATCAACTTAATATGCAGTTCTCTGCGGATGTTATCACCCTCTAGAAGTCACGGCTCCCCTCCGATATTAGAATCATAGAATGGTTTGGGTTCGAAGGGACCTTTAAGATCCTCTAGTTCCAACCCCCCTGCCATGGGCAAGGACACCTTCCACTAGACTGTGTTGCTCAAAGCCCCGTCCAGCCTGACCTTGAACCCTTCAAGGGATGAGGCATCCACAACCTCTCTGGGCAACCTGTGTCACTGTTTCACCACCCTCATTATAAGACGTTCTTCCTTAGATATAGTCTAAATTAGAGCCGTTACCCCTTGTCCTATAGCTACAGGCCCTGCTAACAAGCCTGTCCCCATCTTTCTCCTCAGCCCCGGCAGCTGCAGGAAGGGCTCCCCGGAGCCTTCTCCGCTCCAGGCTGCGCTCTCCCAGCCTGTCCTCCCAGCAGAGCTGTTCCAGCCCCCTGATCATCTTCGTGGCCTCCTCTGGACCCACCCCAACAGGTCCACGTCCTATACACAGTAACTACACAAATTTGATACTGATAGAGCTACCTGCTGAAACGTGGAACAATCCCACTCAAAGTTAGATTTGTTTTTTTAGAAGTACACACCCGTTTCCATAATTCATGGAAGTAAGGTGTAGGCAAGCACCCTCTGACTTAGAAAGACTTTTGACTTCTCCCAAACAATGGGCCAATCCGTTTTTCAGAGAAAAAGACTCTTGAAATTGGGAATGACTTCTATGCTTCTCTGTGTTTTAGTAAGAAAAATTGCTTTGGAAGAAAATCATCCCCAGTACTGCATTGTACAACAGGAGGCCATTTATTACACAGTTTATTATTTCCATATGGACACAGTCAAGTCATATGGTGGGCTTGGATTCATATTTTCTGCTACAATGACAGAACCTGGATTAAGACAACCATACAATATAAATTACTACACGATCACCACATTCTCCTGATGGGATTACAGTGGATTTGGTTAACCAAAGAACTAGCCTGGGGCAAAAGAAATAAAAAAGCACCAAAAAAAAGTATCAAAAACATTACAACTGTTCCTCCTACTACAATCAAATGTTCACAGAATACCCCTTTTTATAGTCATCCTTGAATTCTAAGGTTTCAGAGCATGAAAAGAATTGGATTAAGGGATATCTCTGTTTCCAACTGCCAAGATCAGAGGAATGTATGTGAGACTCTTGTATCAAAACATGAGTAAAAACACTGTTTTTGCTAAAACACATTTTCTTATTGCAAATAGTAGAGATGCATAGTAGGTGAAGTTAAGTTGCAAGTTTTGTGAAACCTCTAGAAAAAAAAATAACTTCATAAACTGCATTCTATTTTGGCTTTGTAATAGCTTAAAAACAAACCAGTATTGCCTTATGTGTCTGTAACAATACAAGCTGACAATGATGTATTTACGAAACAAACCTAGGAGTAATCCCAGAAACTGCTGAAAAACTCATCTGCCTTCTAGTGACAGAAAAAAAAAAAAAAAAAAAAAATCAGTTGAAGCATCAGAGCCATGAGTTACTTCCCAAGTTTTAGTCTGGTTCCAAAATTACCTCCATATTAATGCAAGAAGGTTAACTCCTACTTCGCAGTGGTCTGCAGTAGTTTTACAGACCACAAAAAAGAAGTCTCTCTACCTCTACTGAATGATAGAACCCTCTACACATACAGCACACAAACAGGAGCACAGAGAAAAGAAAACTGAGATTCTCTTTTACTTAAGAGAGCTGAACTCTTCTTCCTCCTACTCTTACCCCCTGACAATGCTGCATCATTAGTAAGGACCGTTATTTTCCCCAAACCGTAAAGCATTTCTCGTACACCCTTCCTTAAGTATAATAGTTTTAACAGCCAACACCACACATACAGAAACAGTTACTCTACCTCATCCAATAAATAGTAAGACACTGAACAAGAGTAATAACTCCATCACCTGTGACCTGTTACAGTACGATTCATAAAAGTACCCTTTAACATAACAATCAATTTTAAAAAGAGAAAAATGTAGGGAGAGGACAGCTGCTTTGCCCACGAGAGTTAAAAGGAATTTAAAGATAGAGCTTAGCATTATGGAAGATGTAAAGAGAAAAAGAGGCAAGAAGGAGAGCAGTGAAACATGACGTCCAAGGAGGAGAGCAAAAGCAGAAAGAGGTGACCACGTGCTGCCTCGATTCCCCTAAGAAACTGAGTTCACATTTCAATTGTTGCTATCAAACATCACCCCTCTCCACCCACCCCACGCTAAGTTTCCAAAGGAACCAAGTATCATTTGCAAAAGCAGCATTTTATTTAAAGATTAGATTGTTCCTTCAGGATATTACCGACTCAGCCATCCAAAGAAAACGTGCCTGTTTTAATTTGAGTGAACAAGTGTCCAAGATTTGTGTTCACATTTATGACCATGTATTCTCCATGGGACTGTGAGCAAATCATTAATGATGTTCAAGTAATAAAATATTAATTGCCATTTCCTTACAAATATTTAGCTCCTCTATACAGTGTTGTTTTCCCAAGTGCTGTGTGAAACCTTACTTGATTGAACAAAAACACGTAGTAAACATGAACTGGAAAACAAATAAGCTAAAATATCAGACACTTCAGACAGGAGTCCGAGTCTGCTCTCATACCAGTTACTAGCAATGCTTACTCCACAGAATCGAGATGTAGCAGATGAGATACATCATATTTTAGGAATAGTTCAAGACAGAAGAACTTAAGGGTACTGATATTTAAGGAAAATAAAAAATCTCAATTGCAGTGGATTAATTCCTTTTACTCATCTCAAAGAGAGGAGGTTTCAACATTTTACTGTCACAGAATCACAGAATGGTAGGGGATGGAA